CTAATATTTATTTGTTGTTTTTATTGTAAACTGCCCAGAGTCACTTCCTCGTGAGATGGGCGGTGACTAAATCTGAAATATAAATAAATAAATAAACCAACCAACCAACCAACTAATCTGAGGCTATAAACCTGAATGTTGGGTCTACGGAAGGTACTGGAAAGCAATGCATAACAATCATGCTTTGTTCTTTTTAATGGACCTGGATGGTATTTGAAGGAACAATCGTTTCTTAAGAAGGAATGAAGCCTGATCAGTTTTAGGGGATTTTTTTCCCTATAGGTATCAAACCAAAAGTATTTATGCAAACTGCCTAGAAGTCCTGCCTCCTCAGTAGAAGCAATCCATGCATAGACAGATACAGTCCAGACTGTAATCTAGTGAACAATAAATGAAACAATAGCCTCTTGAATTGCCTGGTAACAATAGCTTGCCACTCTATCTTGTTCTTTCAAGTCTTGTAAAATCTTCATCTTGATTCTCAGCCTTCTCTTAGACCACATGAGCTTGGTTATTTGTGTCTGCCACTCCTTTAGTATCTTGTGTGGAATAATTATCAAAATCATCTGAACTAAGAAATTAAGCCTTTGTAAAATGTTCATTTTCACCTCTACAGTTCTTCCTAGCCCAGGCAATGTTAACTTTCTCTATCTTAGGATATCTGTCATTATATTACTCCAAGTCTGCAAATCATCATCCTTAAATAAATCTTTGTTGTATTTTGTTAAAGAAATTCTCAGGTACCTAATCTATGTTTGATGTTTGAGATAAATAAATATAGACTAGGGGGATTTGTCACAAACAACTTTTGGGGTATAATCTTTTCAACAAATAAGTTCATATTCCCTAATGTTTTGAGGGGAGAGAATTACACAATAATAACGTATTTGCAGAAATGGCCCTAAACCTGAAACATTTTAAGAAAATCCGCATGCTGGAAGAGCTGTCTTGAAATTTTGAGACGATGGAAGCATTTTGCTTTCTCACACTTGTTTTTCTTTTCTTTTTGCATTTTCTGCAAAAATGGTATAAATTGCAGATATATCCCCAGGCAGGAATCCTGTCATATGAATTTATGTCAAGGGAAAAATAGTTTCTGCTATGTACTATTTTTTTGTTGTTAATGTTGTCTTCTCAGTTGGTACCAGTCATAAAAAATGCACTAAACAAGTGGCTGATGATGGAAATGAAATGCCCATTAGCAGAAACAGACAACCTTGAGCGCTGAGCTTCCTCTGAAGCAAATACCTAGTCCTTCACCTTGTTCTCAGGTCCCACAAGCTTCACCAATATTCTTCCTACTCGTAACTAAGCAAATGGAAGCTGGAAAAGTCCTGTAGTACATCCTTCTGCTTCTCACAGTCAACAGTTATTTGATTAGTGCATTCCAATAAAATTAATCAGTGGGATCACAACTGAGAGCTTTCAGCCGCGAAACTCCCCCCCCCCTTTTTTCTTCCTTCTTTCATCCCTTCTGGACTTCTCTGATATAAAGAGCAGAGAAAGGGAAAGGTTTGTGTAGGCGTCCTATCTCTCCTGATATCCAAATGACTAAAAAGAAAAAACATCAGGAAAGTATAGGTAGAGATTCTGTAGGCTTGCTTCAGAGGACCCTTGCCTTGACTTAAAGGTTTCTGGAAACTTTCTGAATCAACTTGGCTCATCCCTAGTAAGAAATACTCAATTCTTTATATGGGGGATTCTTCCATTATTTTCAGTTTCAAAACTATAATTAAGTTCCAAATGAACCTATTTGCAATAATGTATTATGGATGTGGGGAAAATAATAGGTGAAATTTAAAAAGTCAGAAACTTTGATTACCATTTTAAAATGTGGATGGCATTCCTTAGTAATTTTGGGAAGGACGGTGGTGTTCCTTATGCTTTCTTAGTTGAATTTTATCTTTGGCTCTTCTCCTATATCTTTAAAAATATCTCCATAGTTAAAAACTACAAAGATAAACCACTTTCTAACATTGCCATCAAGCAATGGTAAGGTAGCAGCTTTACTAGCTTGATTTCTGATTTCTTTTCCTTTTTGAATTTTATTTAAAAGACTATGAATTTAAACAGTATGATTAAAAAAGAAAGATATAAAAAAGGTATAAGAAAACAAAAAATAAGGTACAGATGGCTACCCTGATTGGACTTGAAATGGAACATTCTTGGTTCATACAATACAAATCACTAACAGAACTATAAACAGTAAACAATACATTAAATTAACACTGAAGATTATGTGTTGTAGTAGAAATCTAATTCTGTGGAAAAGAACATCCAAACCTTGGTTGTGGCACAAAACCAGCTATAACATTATGTATAACCATTATAACCCAAGAATGGTTTCCAATTAGAATTCAGTTCTGCATCAGATTTATTTTTTATATAGAGATTAGTCTTGACATTGTATTTCTGGTTTCAAGCTAATAAAGCAATAAGTTAATAGATAATTTTAGGTAATCCAGAAATCCAGATACACTCTTTGAAATGTACACTGATTAAAAACCATTAGACAATGCTACAGCAATGTAAGATGATATAAAAACTAAATATGATGAAGGATCATGAATAAAAGTGAGCAATGAGATGAATAATGGTAACATCATTTGATTAATTACTGAAGTGTTACATATTCATTGTTGATAAGATCTCTCTATAGATGTCAAATTCAGGTAAAAAGTATCACAAGGAACATTCTTGAGATGTCTAGTTATACTGGGGTAAGTAGGCAGGTACATCCCTGACTATTAATCTTAGCTACAAGGACAGGCTAGCCCCACCAGAAGTATAGGGAGCAGATCTTGGCATCCAGAAGTTCCACCCCACTATAAAAATGGAAATGGGAGGAAATTTTGCCCAGTTGACTGTTGTTCTTGTATGTGCTGTCAGCATCATGGGGACATGGTGGTGTGTGTGTGTGCATGTGTGTGTGTGTGTGTCTGTGTGTGTGAAGGATGGGGCAAAGGGGAAAATCCAAGGTGTGTCAAGTGACACAATTAGCCTTGAGACAGATGACTTTGTAAGTAGGTGTGTGAGCTTCTCTAGAGCTTCTTGGAGAACAATAATAATGCCCAAAGGTTGCATGCAAGTTTTGGTCATCAGTGATATAGACAGTGGGGCCAGAAAACAAAGACACAAGATGCTTAGTGCTTACTTCTGTAAGGAGACACAAAGTCAAACCAGGGAAAACTCAGTGGTTCTCTTTGAAAGAATTATCTGGGAGTTCTCACCCTGCTACAGCTGGAACTAGAGGCCTGTATTAACAAAGTGTTCTAAGTGTGAACTTAAACTTGGGGCATCTGTGGGGTGGTGGTCAAAAAACCAAAAGCTACAATGGCAGCTGCCATCTTGACTTTTTTAATCCCCCACCCACCCAGGTGCTTTTGCTTAAACTGCTCTGGACCTTCCAATTTTGAACTGGCCCATCCAACTCTAAGGAGGCAAATGCTGACTACTCAACAAATTCATTAGGTATGCTGATGAGTATCAATTTGTTTATATAACAAATTACTTTAAAACCTCAAAATAAGCTGAAAAATAATTATCATGTCCTAGGGGTTACAGATTTTTGATGGCACTTAATATACAAAATGAAAAAGGCTTGTATATTAAAGCTGTGGTTCAGCATTATTGGCCTGTCAATCAGTTCTGTCCTGTGGCATGTGACCTGTTGTCCCTCCTGAATTTGCTTTCCCACCCATCCCAGCCCATCAAGAGGGTTCCAAAACAGGCAATCCCCAGTTTAAGAACAAGTTCCGTTCCCAAGGTCTGTTCTTAAGTCAAATTTGTATGTAAGAAGGAACAGTATAATTGTTCAATACTGTATAAGTAGTATTGTGTAATGAACTCCAACTGTTGCGTATTTAACTTGAATCATTGTGTATTTAACTCAAATTTTGCTGCAATAGGCTCTGTTCTTAATTATGGGTCATCCTTAAACTGGGCGTTCTTAACCTGGGGACTATCTGTACTTACCCTCTCAATGGGTAGAAGATGCGGAGCAGGAAGAGCCTTGAGCATTTGTTAAGCAGTTACTTGCTCAGCACTTCAGATTAGATCTGTGCAGACAGAAACATCGTTTTTGAAAAATTGTACTTCAACTGTTGCAATGCCCTTTTCTGGTAAAAAGAGAAATGCAAAATTGCACATAGTAATGGAAAATGCATATGAGCATGGTTATATGAATGAGTATAACTCACAAAAATGCTTTATATTGGGCAAATTTGCTTGCAAGAAAATGGGTCTATTAGGCAAAAGTGCATATAATACATGGGTATGCCAACTTTAAAAAAAAGATCCCAACATTGACATGGCAAAAGGACAAACTGGATTTAAAATGAGAACCTGGAATACTTCAGTCCCCCTCTGATTGTTCCTTTTCAGAAATTAGAGTGCTTGGATAACTCCTTTGCTGCTAAGGTATAACAAAAACAACAGCAATTACATTTTGGGATGGCTTATCCTCTTATGTTCCGTGTACTTTTCATAGCTTTTCATAGTTTTAATGACCTGTTTTATATGCATTTATTAGTTTTCTTTTTAATTGACTGCGTGAACCACCCAGAGTCACTTTCTTGTGGGGCCGTACAAATATGATAAACAAACAAGCGAGCAAGCAAACACATTTTAATGTACTTTTACCTTTGGAGAACCTCTGACTTTTCCTGGTGGTTGTGCTCAATGAGTCAGCAGTCCTACTATGGTTTCATTCAACAGTTATCACAGCTGGACCCAGCTTTAGATTGCTCCTTGCAATGCGTGATGCAGCACACCAGTTCTTCAGCTGCCATAGCATTAAGACAGCTATCAAGCTGTTCTAACTGCATTTTGCTTGTCTGCACTGTAGGCTTCGTTGACTTTGACTGCTTCTGGCTGGCAGTCATGGACAAAACATATAATTGGCTATTCCTCATTTTGCTGCATGCTGTAATTGAAAATAGCGAGGGGTGCTACTGCGACCATTATCCATGGACTCCCTGGTCTGGCTGTTCAAGGACCTGCAATTATGGAACTCAAAATAGGCATAGGTAAGTGGGGAATGCCATGGTGATCTCAGAACTGATACATTTTTATCATTCAATCGCCTTAAAAGGCTATCAAAGGCCTCTGACATTTCCCCAACTTGAATGCCTTCAAAAGTTGGATTAAAGCTACTGTTGCCTCAGTTGGTAATGATGGATGTTGTAATGCAATGCATCCAAAGGGTACCAGGATGGGGAAGGCTGTATTATTTAAGACTGACATAACGCTCTTATGCAATGGCCACTGTTTAATCTTATGATACAATAATTCCTGCATGAAAGTTGTACAGAGAGTCCTCACTTAATGACCACAATTGGGACTGGCAACTCCATGGCTAAGTGACATGGTCATTAAGTGAGACATCACGTGACTGTGACTTGTGATTTTTCTGCCAGCTTCTCCATGGCATCTGCTTGTGGGAAGCCAACTGTAAAACGCATAAATGGTAATCATATGACTGTGGGACACTGTGATGGCTGTATGTGCGAGGACCGGTTGTAAAATTACTTTTTCAACACCTTTGTAACTTTGAATGGTTGCTAAACAGGGCAGTTGTTAAGTGAAGACTACCTGTATTTAGGAGGTATCTGAGTTTCTGACAAAAGGTTCAAGAAGAAGGCTTCCAACAGCATCCTCAGGAGCTGACAATGGCAAAGGGCAGAATGATAAGAGCAGTTTGCCCCATTGCGCGGCAAGGTTCAATGCTTCGGCACATGTGTCGTGACATTGCAGGGGCAAAGCTTGCAGTATGACAGAGTAACACCACCTTTGCCGTTTTGACAAAAGTAGCATCTCTTGCGGACACTTGTGAATGCGTCCACATTTTTGACAATAAAAATGACAAGGTGGAAAGAAAAAAAAATCTTTCAAAGATGGCGGGCAGAGCAACCAATAGCTCATTTGCCAATGTTCATTGTTCTAGATCAGTGTTTTCAACTGATGCTTTTCAGTGTTGTTTTCAGTGTTTTTCAACTGCGAGGCCAGGGGTGCCTGCTGCTGGGCGAGGAGGGTGTGAGTGACTTACTGAAGCAACTTGCAACCTGTCCTGCCAGCTTCCCCATTGACTTTGCTTGTGGGAAGCTGGCAGGAAAGGTCGCAAATGGCGATCACGTGACCACAGGACACTGCAACCATGGTAAGTGTGAGCCAGTTGCCAAGTGCCCAGATCAAGATCACATGATAACAGGGTGCTGGGATGGCCAGAACTTCAAGGACCGGTCGTAAGTATCACTCATTCAGCACTGCTTGTCAGGCCTAGCCCAAAGAACTCCTGGAGACCATGCAGGTTCAATCAGCAAGGTTTATTTGCCAGCACCTGTTTA